TTATATCTGCCCCTTTTTTCAATTATTTCAATCATAATAATCTTCAAGTAACTCAGTAAGTAATATTCTTAGATAGGAAAAGGGGGAGAACCATGAGGGTAGATGGTGCATTGTTACACATGAATAGTTTTTATTGGATACGGTTTAATGTGAGTCTTGACCTGCCATTGTGTATCTGTTCCTACCAAACCCAGCCGATCGAAGCAGATGGCCACTTGTCCTAAACCTGGTTCTGCTAAAGGTTTCTTCCTCATGAGGGAGTTTTTACTTCCCACTGTCGCCTTCGTGCTTGCTCAAGATGAGAGTTCTGTGATGACGTTAAACTCAAGCAGTCTGCTCCTCAGATAAATAATGTTATTAACTTACTTTTTCTATATATGGATGTTTCTGATCAGTGCCCTGAGATGACTTCTGTTGTGACTTGGTGCTATATAAATAAACAGAATTAAAGCTCATTTATAATTATGTTTATAGGTAAAAGTCAATAAAAGGCAGGTGTAAAGGACCAAAAGAAAAACAATGAACGCCATCCTTGAATGCCGGATGTAGTTATGAATGCATTTGATTTGCAGACATCTACACCTCCAGATGCAGGAAGAGGGCCACCTGCATCATGAAGGACCTCACTCATCCAGCACACACACTTTTTGCCCCACTCCCCTCAGGAAGGAGGTTGAGGAGCATTAAGTGTAGAACCACTAGACTGAGGAACAGCTTCTACCCTGAGGCTGTTACTCATAAATATCTAACCAGAATAATCACTGTGAAAAACCATTTCATGTTGCTGCTGATCTGTTTCAATGTTGGTGTGTTCATGCGTGCACATCCGCTCACACAGAATCATGTTCATGTTTGTGCTGATGTTCAATGTTTGATGTTATGAGTGCTTAGTGTATATTTAGTTGACGTTTTTCTTAGTTCATATCTTAGATGTTATTAGTTTTTCTTATGCATTTTATTGTTGGATGTAACTGGGACCCTGTGTACATAATTTCGCTCCACCACATGTACCACAAGGTGTGAATGACAATAAAGAATCTCTGACTCTGATTTGAGCACATGGTTCCCGATTTTGTATATACACATTAGTAACTGTGAAAATGTCAGTTTTCTAACTTGAGATCCTCCATTCTGCGTCGCCACCTGCTGGCTACACAACAGAATGCAGCTCAAAGCATTTTTGGCTTCACTTTTCAGTCACGGAGGCTGATTTCTCCCCAGCAGAAACACAATCTGTTGTTTCTGTTCAGATCAAGAAGTAAAACCTTCATTATATCAGGTTTAAATGTTAAAGTGGAGCCTTTTAAACTGATCAGTGTCATGAAGAAGTTTCATTTTAAACACTAACCAAAACGTCCTGCCATCAAAAACTAACCAGTTTGTCTGAATTTTCGCCAACAGGAAGTGAACAGAACTGACAAAAAGTTGTAAAAGTGTAATCGTTCAGTGTCATTTATGATTTAATTCTCTGGTGTCCTGCTTTGGTGTGGCCAGGCTCAAATCCCTGTTTTTGTCATTCCAGACCATTTTTAACTTATGACCAAAACACCTGCAGAGAAAGAGATTAAACAACAAGAAAAACTATTTTTCCACAGAAGTTTTGTTTCTCAGGCTGAGTATGAGCAGTCTTTGTACCGATGATGAATAAAAATAAATCAGAAGTTTCATCCCCAGCAGGGCAGATCAGACGGAGCTGAAACCAAAACAGGAGACCCCTGAATGATCGGACCTCTTTTGTCTGAAGCTCCAAACAAACATCAGAGAGGCTGAGGAGCAGAGCGGGAGGAAGATGAGGAGGAAGAGCAGCTGGCTCCCAGTTCAGAGGGAGACAGGCCTCTCGGGCATTGTTCCCGTTGACCTCCAGTTCTGCGAACAGAACCGGAGGGGATACTGAGAAATTTGTCTATTCGCAGAAAGGCACAAAAAAAAGACACGTCTGTATTTATCTGTCTGTTGGCAAAATATCTCATTAACCACTGGACAGATTTTAATTAAACTGGATGCACATCTAAAACTCAAAGTCAACCCAATTCAAGATGGCTGCCACAGCTAATTAACCATGGCAAACACAAAATTGGCTCTAATGCCGTTATTCTTAAAGAAATGTGGTGCGGCTGAAACTGGAGGAAACATGAAACATTTGAAGTCGAAACATTTATATTTATTGTGGGACTCAGTTTGTTGTGGCTCCTCGGACTGATGAAGTCCTTTGGATGAAGGACGAAACATCTCCAAAAAAAAAAAAAACATCCAGATGACCTGACTGAACTTTGTTGGATTTTGTGCCTGGATTATTGAGCATGAACTTTGATAAATATCTCCATATCCGTTTACTTTTTTCCATATTTATAGACCTGAAAAATACCTCAGGTCTGGAAGTCGAGGTGTTGTGTAAAATGTTTACAAAAAACTAAATGCAATAATTCCAAATTATCAAAACTTCATATTTAAATTATGGTGGAACATAATGAAACCAAGATTGAATCATAAAAAGGTCATTATGGCAACAAAAGGCTGTAGATAAGAAACAGCTGGGGGGAGACGGAATCCCTCAGAAGTAAAGATGGGCAGAGGTTCACCAGTCTGTGAAAACACTTCAATAATAAATCTGAGGTCAGAGGGTGAAGCTTCGAGTCCGGAGTGGATGAATTTACAAACATTCCAGCCACGGCTCTGTCCAGTCTGTCCTCATCCGTACAACCAGGGGAAACCCAGAACCTGTGGAGTTTGTGCAGAACCGGACCTCTGCAGCTCCAGCAGCCACACACACACACACAGGTTGGTTTTCATTGGTTTGGAGTCGGGTGGAGACGCAGATCCCACCGAGCAGCGTGGAAGAGTTTCAACAACACACCCAGAGGGGGGTAGGTGGGGGCCACCACCACCCCTCAGTATCAGGAGGGGTGGGCCTTAGAGGTTCTGATGGGAGGACAGAGTCCGAATGAGGTGGATGGAAGCAGTTTTTATTTTGGAAAGGATCTGGTTCAGGGTTAAGGAGGTCAAATGGGTCTGCTGGAAGAACAACACGGGTTCAGGTTCAGTAAAGACCAGGTCCAAAGACTCTGATCAGAACCAGAGCCTGAACTCTTTGGTTCTGGTGTTTTATTATTTGGGTCCGATGTTCTGATTCTTCACTGAAACTTTCCAACCGTTTTGTGAACCTCTTGATGCTGAAGCTGCAGACGCTCGCTGCACGTCCTCCACCTTCAGATCATTAAACATTTACCGTTGTATTTTTATGACGGCAGGTTTTTACAGATTAGAAATTATTTGACCGAACCAAAACACAAATGCTGAGATTAAACGTGTAGGAGGCAGCGCTGCAGAGGATCATCATGAAGCGTGGAGTAAAATAAATTAATAAAACAATAAGCAAAGTCTTCACGTAAAAACAACTTCATCTGTAAAATAGTGTCGACGGCTGTTAAACAGGAAACATTTACTTTAAATTAACAATTTAATAATAAAATTTAAAAAAACAGCTCGTTGACTTTTAATCCCATAATTCCCAGTAAAGCTCAGTTTTAATAAAACAGACAGACACGTGAATGTTTTTGATCTCAGGATTTATTGCTGAACACGCCAGACATGACCATCAGATCCTGTCTGTACACCCGTGATACACCCGTCTCCCACCACAGCTGGACCTTACAGAAACCGTCCAGGCCAGAGCAAGGCATGCTGGGAGAGGAGAGGAGCCCAGCGGAATGTAGGCAGAACGCTGAGCAAACAAACAGCTAAAATACATACAGCGTTCAGCTGCTAAAACACCCCAATGAGCCAAAGACACACTGAGAGAAACACGAAAAGGCAAACGAGGATTTTAAACTCGTCCGTGAGTTCACTCTCTCCAGCAAACTGGAATCCAGTTTCATGTAAACAATTTTTCCACCATCGACTCAACATCAGCATTAAAACGACTTGGTATTAATTTTAAAAAAGCTTAAAAAGTGACAAATGCAAAACTAAAAAGGAGGCGAAGAGTTTAAACATGAAGGCAGCTTCCCGTCTGCTCGTTTACTGCAGCGACCACAGAAGAAGAAAGACGGAAGAGTCCACTTCGGCCGCTGTCGGCGTTTGTTCGGCTGTTCTGCAGCGACTTGACGTCACTCGAGCAGAACCTGACCTTTCACCCCTGCTTCACCTCAACCGAACCGTCCACGGACCGGTGACTGACCCGGAGCAGAAGAACCACAGCGTTTGGGTCAGACGACACCAAAAGACGTAAACCAGCGCAGCTGAACTGCAGCCGCTGATTAAAGAGACAAACTTTACTGACATGAACACAACGATCCACAGGTCTCATTCAGACGTTACACTTTTTATCTGCTTTTTTAAAGGGTTTTGGCTGCCTGTTAGTAAAATATCTCATGACCCACTGGACAGACGCACATGAAGTCAACTTTATTCAAAATGGCCACCGCAGCTAAATTGATGTTAGCCACCATAAAAACAGCTACAACTCAGTGGGTTTTAGAGACACTGAGGTAAACCTTGGTGTGGTAGTAGCTGAGAGTCATGTCCTGCTCATACTGTGAGGGTTACGCATTGTGCAGGTTAAGTTTCAGAGTAAAGTACCGCAACAACCTCACAACATGAAGGGCGGCGGGCGACATGCATCTGTCTTTAAGGTGACACCTCACTGGACTGACTGGACGACCCATTCATGAAGGAAACTGGTCTCACAACTCGCTTTAATAATAAGCGTCTGATGAAAGTGTGGCCGCGCAGCTCGACTGGTCCCAAACGCTCGGAGTTCAGTCAGACCTCCAGCGAGACACGGCCTCCTCCTGCACACCCGTCAGACACGGAACGAAAGTTTCAGTGAGATAAACCAGAGGAATTAATTTTATATTAACTTTTAGAAATAGAATTAAAAAGGCTCAGTTTACGTCCTCATCCAAACCTGGAAAATACTAAAAACAAACTCAGAGCTTCTCAGGTCTGTGTAGGAACTCCGCAAACACCGAAACCTGATTAGCTTCTTCACGTCTCTTTCGTCTTCAGCTGAAGAAACTACACCGATAGAATGGAGCTTTACTACATTTAATTAACGAGACAAACAAACCGCAGCGAGCTGGAGGCGGTCGCTCGGAAGGTGAACCGCCGACGCCACCGACTCAAACCCAACATTTAAGGCACAAAGGTTGAAATATTTTCGCATAGAGACCTTCTTGTTCCAGAAGGAAATGAGCTGAGCTACAGGAACCCGACATGTTTGTGCGTATCAGTAACACAGGAATTAGTTTCAAGACTCCGTAAAAGATCAAACATTTGTTTCTGAGTATCAGACGTACGCGGTTAATCTCTTTGTAACAGTTCATCTCTCTGCTGTCAATCAAAAATGCATCAAAACTATACAGGATATCTATAAAGTGACTAAGATTTAAAAACTTTATGATTGTTTTTCTTGAGACACGCTCTGGGTGTGAGCAGCTCGGAGCTCTCCTCAGGATAAATTCATCATCATGAGGAGGAGCAGCTGAGATGTTGAGCTGAACCTCACTAAAACCTTCTGGACGTGCATTAAATACAACTCATGTTACTAAAATTAATCGTTAGACTTCATTCTACACCGCAGCACCCGCCCCTCATTGGTGAAGAGAAGGAATAAAACGTTCATCTAACAGTCCTCTGTGTAAAAGTCTTCATCCTGTCTAATAAAGTAGTGGTTTTACTGCGGCCTCAGGGGGTCTGCTTGCTGCCTTCGGCTGATGGCGCCGCCTGCAGGAAGGGAGAGAAGGAGGAGCGCACGGCGCGACCATGCAGAGGCTGCTGCACACGGAAGTTGTTCACCATGCTCTTCTGTACTTCCTCCTCGGCTGAGGTGAACAGGAGGCTCCGGAAGACCGCCAGCTGGGAGGAGGAAGTGAGACAGAGATCAGTCATTTGAACGTTCGGTTCTCTGGGTGATCAGACCCGCCGCAAATCAGGACCAAACAGATCCAAACAGGGCTCGGCCTCGACATTACCTGCAGCGCCCTCTAGTGGGACTCAGTAGAAATGTCAACTGTTTCCAAGTTGTTCAAAGAGCTAACGAAGGGTCAGAACTGTGACGTAAAGATGAAAATGTTCCATCAGGCTTCAGATTGAAACTTCCTGACTCTAAAGTGAAGAACGCTTGAAGGTCTCCTGCAGAAAATCGGACTGAACGAAGGTCAAGGCAACTTAATCCGCAGCAACCAGGTGTGGTGAGTTTATTCCAGTGGTTCCGCCTGAATCGGTCCTGAAGCAGTTTGCAGACACAAAGACCCGGGTCCATTTGTTTAGTCCAGGGGTCTGCAACCTTTGTGATAAAAAAGAGCCATTTTTGCCACTTTGCTTATTAATTATGACGTCCGGAGCCACAAAACCTGCTCCAACTGTGGACTGTCGACTGGTGGCCCATGGACCACAAATTTTTTTTTTTTTTTTGTTGTTGTTGTTCACAAGTTTTAATACAAAAGACCAGATTTATGTAAAGAAAGAACAAATATGTAATTTTTAACAATTTTATATAAAAGTTTAAACGCTGAACTCTGCAGGCCGATGTGAGTTCTCTTAATCGTTGAAGAATTAAGTTTCCTACTTAAAGCATAAAGTTAAAGACTGTATAAAATTAGGCCACTTTGTTGGAAATCAGTTACGTTTTTAAAGACAAATAAATACTTTACTTTGACTTTTATTTTTGTGTTTTATTCTTAGTGTTATCAAGGTTACTCATATTCCTTCTCAGCAGCTTGTCTTAAAGATATTCCAAAACATTCTGGTGGTTTTGAGAGAAAGATGATTGGAAGTCAACTTTAAGTGGCTAACAAGCTACTAGCATGATGCAGTTTTACATTCGCCCTGTATTTGTTCTATTCGTCACATATTTGAAAATGACAGGAAACCTACTGAAACTAGCTATTTTCATTGTCGGCAATAATTTATATAAAATTCAGAAGGTCCGGCTGAGGATGAGCAGGACTTGAGCCCGTTGGGTTTGGTGAAGGGTCACTGTTAGAATGAAGCTTTGGGTTTTAGGTCGCTGATCGGTCATTTTAGTGGTTTAGGTCAGACACTTGATCTGTTCGGCACATTCGCGTACGAGTTTACACTTGTGGTGTTTAATGTTGCACTTGGAGAGTCCAGTGTTTTTGAAGTTTGAGAACCACTGGTTTGTTACTTTAAATTTGCTGCTCAAAGACCCGCTGAAGAAAAGAGCAGCGTTGATCTTTGATGAAAACTTAAAGCCTGTTTGACCACACGCGGCAGCAGAGGACAACTTCAGCTGCAAACTTTCTGCTGGTTTGGTTAACCGTGGCTCCTAACTGTCTTCTGAGCTTGTGGTTTCCAAGTAGCACATAAAAGATGCTTTAAATTATATATTTAAAACTACTACTACAGGCCCGTGAACATAACGCAATATTTGAATTATTAAACGCCTCCATCTTCCCTGCTCTTGGTGAAACGGTTTCATTTCATTCTTTAAGCTAAAACAAGAAGAAATGTTTGGTGGAACGCTCCACACACCTGGTCGTGGCTGACTTCGATGTGCTGCTTCATGACGATCCAGGTGACGGACTCTGTCAGAGGGGGCGTGGTCAGAGAGCCGTGGTACGTCCAGTAGTCGTCGGTGTTGGCGGGCAACAAGCAGCCGGGGTCGAAACGGTTAAACTCGACTACGCTGTCCTGTGTGGTGGTGGTGGGGGGGTGTGGGGGCAGAAACACACAACATGGAACAAATATGGAGTAAGAACTGTTTATGTCAACAAAGCTTCAAAATGTACAACCTGATTAAAATCACATAATGAGCTTATCTGTCTGATGTTTGTCGTCAGGAGACGATAAGATAAAGCTGCAGAACCAGGAAGTTCCACCTTCTGACCAGGTGGTGGCGCTGGAGCCCCTCCACGCATGATTTTATTGATTTTTTAAATGTTATTTTACACAAGGACGGGACTTAAAAACCAGATGGGCCCTAAGCAGAGGTGGAAAGAGTACTGAAAATGTATACTCAAGTACAAGTAGAAGTACTGGTGATATAAAAATACTTACAAAGTACTCCTCAAAAACTACTCAGAGCATTGATTACATTTGAACCAACTGATGATTTATTGTGTTGTCAATAAAAGGCATTCAGTTTGATTTAATGCATATAATTGCTACATTCAAAGCACATTTCTCAGACGAACAATAAAGTAAAAAAAAAAATGACACCAAGGCCATTTCTTTTGTAAACAAATGTAGATAAAGCAGGAATTTTGATTGTTAAAAGAAAGACAAATGTTTTTGAACCGGTATAGAACAGTTTAAACTTTTCCAAATACACTGAACAACAGACAGGGAAGTGTCTTAAACTCTGACAATCTGTCACCCGTCACTTTCTGAACCTTTTGTTCAGTGGCAGCAGGAGCTGGTTTTTAAATAGTCTATCTGGCTTCGTTTGGCTGTGAACATTAGACTCTAAAGGACTCTACAGAGTTGTCCTTTGCTTACATCATAGGTAATTGGCGCATTCGCGATCTGAGAGCCTTATTAGCTACAAAGATGCAGAAGAACGGTTTGAATATTAATTCAAATTGCAGCTGTACTCAGTAGTGACTTCTGATTTAAAAAAAAGTAGTGAAGTAGATTACATGGTCTAAATTGTACTTAAGAATGAGTAAAATTACACACTAGAAATAAATACTCATAAAAGTACAAGTACCCAAAGAAATCTACTTATTACAGTAACGTGAGTATTTGATCTGTATTTATTTTGTTACTCAGGACCAGGGGTGTAAGTAACAAATTACAAAGCGGAATTTTTAAAAAAAGCATAAACTAAATAAAAACAAGTCACAGTAACAAGACCGTGTTGACCAGCCCGGAGGGTTCATGCACACAGCTCTAAGTGAGGAGGTCTGCAGAAATATTTGACTTCACTTCAGATTTTCAGCGGCATATATTCTGATATAATTTAGTCGAAGGAGGATTTTCTCCAGTGAGTGAAAAGCCTCAGACATTCAGTGGTTATAAACCAGTAAAGAAAGAGATTTTCTAGACGTTTGTTGGTGTGTTTGATGGTTACCAGCAGAACACGGCGAGGAACTGACCTTGTGTCTGATCGCAGGCAGAGCATCAACCAGCTTCTGCAGGCCCTCGTGTCTCTTGCCAACCTACATGAGGGTCAGACAATAATCTGGATTAAATTCAGCTGACAGGAAGTGGTGTTCCCGGCTGCAGGAGCGTAAGAAAAGGTTCTGTGAGAGAGGATGTGCACGTAGTGTTCAGTGAACAGTGATCACCTTCAGGAAAACTCCGATCACAGCCAGCCCGTTGTCCTCCATCACCGCCTCCTCGAACAGACTGTACCGCTCAGCGTTCCAGTGGACCAGGTGGAGCTGAGGACAAACAGGCGTAAGAGTTAAACCGGACTCTTCTCCTCTTTCTGATCAGTCACAGTTGAACTGTGACGCTCTGAAATAAGAACAGCTGAGAACCGTGACGTGAGCCCAAACAAGAACCAGGAGAACCGCGCACACACTGGAACACCTCGTTACGCAAGAGTATCCGAGCGTAACAGAAAACCTGAACATTGATGTTACTCTGTTCAAACACGCCTCTCATGTTGGGCTTTTGAGACAAAGGAAACGGGTCAGCACGTATCACTGACAGCAGGTGCACTGAAGAACGATTCAGCAGGACATGAATAGAAGGGCGGGTTGAGAACTGAATCAATATTTGTTGTTTAAACAGCTCGACTTTTGTTTTCGTTCAAACTAATTCATTTGCTTTGGACTCGACTTTACAAACTTTAACTTCAAATCTTCTCATAAAAGCATCAAAGACACAGTCTGCTCTCCTGCAGCTGATGTTTTCAGGGAGAAGACTCCTGTGGGATCAATAAAATATCAATAACTTTTGGTTTTGTGGGATCCTTCTGAAAATGTCACTTGTATTTTTTCTGCATCCTGTAGAAACGACCGGAGCTTCCTGCTCTCTGTGTGTTCATGTTAGCATGTGCACGTCAGAGCGCTGACTCAGTACCTCTGCAGGAAACAGCCGTCGGTCCACGGTGTGCTCGGACCCCCAGTCGTTGTTCTCCCCCCAGTGGAAGTGGAACTGACAGAGCCTGAACGTGTCCTGCAGCGGGCCTCCTCTCAGAGCTGAAAACAACAAAATACCGCAGAGATTTCAAGCTTCAGCTACATGCAGTGAATGTTGGCAGCTCAAATCCTTTTTGTGTACAGTAGTCCCTCGCTACTTCGTGGTTTTTCAACGTAAGATTGTACGCGGCACACGATCGTCAAGTTTAACATTACTCACGTGATTGGGACGGTACGGGATGAAAAGTAAAAAAAAATAAAGTAAAAAGTGTCGGACAGGTGCTACCATTTTGTAGTTTTCTTTCCATAATCCTACGTTGTAGCGCAAGTCAGAAGAACTACACTACCCAGAAGCCAACAGTGCTTCCACCTGCTACTTTCTGCCGAAATGGAGGGAAAGTTTTGCAACGCAAAGTCAGAAGTAACGATCGATCTGTTAAACTCACAGAACTGACAGGAAAGTCACAAATAATCCTGAAGCTCAATGATCCTCGTGCACATCAACCTGGACTTCATGTTGCAGAACCAGAACCGAGCTGCTGGTCTGCAGAGCTGCTGAGAACCCATTAAAATTTTAGTACTGTACAGTACATATATGTATGTTGTTAACATTACGTAGGTTTAAGATTTTAGAACATTGTTAAGAACATTGCAAGAGTGTGGGAAGTTTATAAAGCCTCAACATATAAATATATAAATATTAAAATAAATATAGTGTTCCTACTTTGCGGTTTTTCACCTATCACTGTGGTGTCTGGAACGTGAACCCCACGATAATCGAGGGACTACTGTACTTTGTCTCGTTTCTGCTCTTGAAGAGCAGGTTGTTCATCTGAAGAACATCCAAGAAACAAAAAGAGGCGGGGCCAAAATGAGCACAGCTACAAGCTGAGATGAATGTGTCTACAAGTAACTGGGGGTCCACTTAGACAATAAACTGGACTGGACAGCGAACACCAACACCTTCTACAAGAACGGACAGAGTCGCCTTTTTCTTCTGAGGAGACTCAGGTCCTTTAACATCTGCAGGACCATGCTGCAGATGTTTTACCACTCGGTGGTCTCCAGCATCTTCTTCTATGATGTAGCATGCTGGGGCAGCAGGGTGAAGAAAGCTGATGCCAACAGACTCATACTCATCAGGAGAGCTGGCTCAGTTCTGGGAGTGGACCTGCAGTCTCTGACAGAGGTGTCTGAGCAGAGGATGCTGAGGAAACTGCTCCAGATCCTGAACGACACGTCACACCCCCTGCATGATGCCCTGGACTCACCGCAGCACCTTCAGTCGTAGACTGAGACCACCGAGGTGCTCCCCAGAACAACACAGGAAGTCCTTCAAACTTTTCAACTCCTCCCCCTTTCTGCACAAATTAATCCTGCACCACAATAAACACTTTAATGTTTCTGTCTGCGCCTGTTTAGAACTTATTTGTTGGTATTTTTATATTCGCTGTTATTTTATGTCTTGTGTATGTTCCTTTGTGTTGAAACTCTGGCACAACAATTTCCTGCAGGATCAATAAAATTCTCTTATCTTATCTTAAAAGACAAAGTGTGCAGAAGCAGCTAGCGTTTGGAAAAAGTACAAATAAAAACTGTTCTACTATAAAGCTGAGCTGCAGACGCACGGCGCTCTGGTCGAATCTGCTCATTTCACTGAAATAAGCAACATATTTACAGAGAAGTAAAGCCGTGTTGCAGCTGGAGAGGTCAGCACCAGCCCACCGGTCACATGACCATCGTCACATCCATGTGGAGCTCTGAGTGAACGGTTGACGGCTGGATTTTCCTACATATGGGGGGGGGGGGGGGGTCTTTAGGGAAGGGGATAATCTTCTTATGTACGGTAGATCAAAACATGCATTCTTGCTTCTTCCCTTCAAACATTCAGAACTTCTGAGTATTTTACAATAAAGCACTTGGGTGGAAGAAATCCTTTTCTTCCTCTCGTGGTTTCGGCAGGCTGAATAATTCCAGATGTGAGCGTTGAAATATTTTCAAACAACTTACTGTTCTTGTCTGTGGTGTCGTCGTATTCGACCAGGAAGGAGTAACCGTTGTTCCAGATTTGTTGGCAGGTCTTCGGGTCGTACGTGGTCACCAGAGGCTTGAGCTCCGAATCAAAGACACTCTTCTTCATGACGATATCTATGGGGGACTGACGGTCCCCTCCCGGTACCGCAAGGGGCCCCTGCCACATGGGATGCACTGGAGACAAAGAGAAACAGCAAGGAAATAAAAATAAAAAAGTCAGATTTTATAAACCCATTCCGAGTGAACAGGAGAAACTGCTGACACTTACGTCTCACGTGGCGCTCTGCTGCTCCCTGCACTTTCAGACAGTCCATTTAGAAACAAAGACACCTCAACGTTCAGAAACTACACACTCACTGTCCTAAAAGTGACACGCGCTCTCTCTGCCTGGAGCTCGAAGAAAGAACTGAATGAAAAATGAGACACGAGCAAACGGATTTCCTTCTCGTCCTCTCTCTCTTTCAGGAAATGACTGAATAAGAGTGAAGTGGGCCGGCAGTACAGAAAGTGACATTTGGAATGTCCTGGCACGCCTCCAGCTCTCAACCACAGCACATGAAACGGACCAGAACCTCTGACCGGTCAAACCATTCCTTCACGTCAGTGGTGCTGACTTCTAATTATCCAGAACTCTGCTCAGTTTCCAGAGTTTCCACTCTCTGTTTGCTGAAAGCTTCCCAAAAACAGGCGCTTGACTTCTAAAGACCCAGTCTGACGTTTCTCTTGTTCAAACTGAATAAGGCTATTGTTTTCCCCCTCGTTCATCCAGCTGGATGGTTTAATGCAGACTGCTCAGTCTGACTGGGAAATTATATTCATCTTCTTTGGGTTTCAGCAGCTCCTCCTGGGGGAGTTGACCGCCTGACTCTGTGGCTGCTCCAACCCACGACGACCGCTCAAACAGCTCAAGAAGCTCAAAGCAGCTCTCAGCTTCTAACTTCTCCTGAGTGGTTATTTAAACTGTGTCATTGTGACAATGATTCAGTTACAGAGATGATGAGCAAATAAATAAATCGTTGTAGGTTTGATTTTTAAATAAATAATCCTTTAATGAGATGTTTCATAAAATGTGCTAATGGACACAGTTTTACAGTTAAAACATTCAAACATGTAAAATCTCACTTGACACAACGGAACAACTCAGTTGACGTTAACAACAACTCAGACGTCATTCTGAGCTGTTTTAATTAAATTAACCCTCAAATTGTCCTTTAACTTGATCACCATTCATGTACCTCAGAGGAAAATCAACCATCTTATTTAACTGGTTAAAATACCGGTTCCGGGTTTTTTTTTTTCCACATAAAAAGCAAATCTTTAATTGCGATCTCAGTCTGAAATAAAAATATCAAATTTAGATTTTTTAAAAATTTAATTCTTTAAGAGCCTTTTTAGTTTTGAAGAACCACCAAAGTAAGTTATGGAGTTCCTCAGGGTTGAGTGCTTGGACCAATACTCTTTACTTTATGTTTCCATTAGGTAAAGTTATTAAACAACATGGGATACATTTTCAATGTTATGCTGATGATACTCAGTTATATTTGTCCATGAAACCCGATGAATCCAATCAGTTAGATTACGAGCGTGTCTTAAAGACATAACAACTTGGATGACTCTTAACGTTCTACTTTTAAACTCAGATAAAACAGAGGTTGTGGTGTTTGGACCCGAGCATCTTGGGAATACATTTTGCAGTCTTTCACTTCCTCTGGGTGGCATTAATTTGGCCTCCAGTTCTAATGTTAAAAACGTTAGTGCTACTTTTGATCAGGATATGTCTTTTAACCCCCCCATATTAAAAAGTTACCAGGACCGCTTTCCTCCACCTGCATAATATCACTGAAGTTAGAAACATCTTGTCCAAAAACAAAAAATTATGCGGAAAAACTGGTCCATGCATTTATCATGCCTAGGCTGGACTATTGCAATTGTTTATTATCTGGGTGTCCAAATACTTCTTTAAAAAAGTATTCAGTTGATCCAAAATGCTGCTGCCAGAGTCTTAATGAGAGTTGGTAGGAGAAATCATGCTTCTTCAGTTTAATGTTTCTCTCCATGTCAAATTCAGAATAGAATTCAAAATCTTACTTCTAACCTACAAAGCTCTCAATAACCTAGCTCCATCTTATATTACAGATCTTATTGTTCCATACTTTCTTAACAGAGCACTTTGCTGTAAGACTGCAGGTTTACTTGTGGTTCCTAGAGTTTCCAAAAGTAGAATAAGAGGAAGAGCTTTCAGTTATCAGGCTCCTCTCTCGTGGAACCAACTTCCAGTTTGTGTCCGTGAGACTGACACATTGTCTACTTTTAAGACTAGGCTTAAGACTTTCCTTTTTCATAAATTCTATAATTAAGGTTGTCTTGGGTTTCCTGAGCCATCCCTTAGTTATGTTGCTATAAGCTTAGACTGCTGGAGGACAAACTGACCACATTTCCTCACTCTGCTGCCGTCTTTACTTGCTCTAATCTACCTGTTTGTATTTGTAATTATTTCTATCTTAACATCAAAAATGGTTAAATTGTGTCATCTGGACCAGTTTCTTTAAGTGAGAAACGTTTCGTCCCCCATCCAGAGGACTTCCTCAGTCTATGACCTGCCAACCAGATCTGTCCCATAGGTGTAGCCTTCTCTGTTGTGTTGGAGGAGGTTGTCTTGAAACACAGCAGTGAAGGATACCTATGGAACAGATCTGATTGGCAGGTCATAGACTGAGGAAGTCCTCTGGATGGGGGACGAAATGTTTCTCACTTAAAGAAACTGGTCCAGATGACACAATGTATCCTTTTTTGTTGTTACCTACCTGATGATTGAGCTTACAACCTTTTATCCTTAACAGTTTTTTTTTCCTTTCTTCTAATGAGAGTACACCTGGACTTGTCATTCTGCGTTTGTCTGTTTCTACTTCCTGTTCTCTCAAACTCTAGGCAGTCGAAGAAGATGGCCGCTCGTCCAGAGTCTGGTTCTTCTGGAGGTTTCTTCCTTTTAAAAATAGAGTTTCTCCTTTCCACTGTTGCCTTTGTGTTTGCTCAGGATGGGAAACTGTGACAAAGTGAAGACTGAACGCAATCTACTGGCTTCCTTAGACAGATAACTTTTACTGCCGGCTTTTATAAAGCATGTGAGTATCATTAAGCAAAGATAAGATACACAAAAGGTCTTACTGCATGACTGCACCATATTTGAGCTCATCTATAAAACTGAGCCATTTTTGTGACAGTCATCTTGATTCGAACTCACTCCAGCAGTTACTCAGTTGTAGATGTTCATCTAATGATAAATGTTTCATTACAACCTGCCCCATGATTTAGGGATATAACAGTAACGGTACAGACACTTCAGCAGCAGGTGATAAAAACACGCTGAACTTCTGAACTAACTACAACATCGTCAGTGCATCTGAATACACTGGAAATTTTAATTATATGCAGACTTATTCTGCCAACTTGTCATATGCGTCAGCAGCTCAGTGGAGCTTGGAGGCATGGTTCTGCCTTTAGGCGATACCTACCTGTTAGACAAAACTGAGGGATTAGAATGCACATGAAGTTGAAACTTTAGAAGCAAACCAACATGTCTGAGTTACTTGAGGAGAAAGATTGTGGAAAAAATTCACATGTGAGCAGAGACAAACCTAAACACTTCTCGTGCTCATCGCACTTGTTCAACTTTAACTTTCTTCATGACTGAGGCTGAAAATCTCTGCAGGACTTGATAGTTTGTGGCACATTTATTTAGTGTGTGGACTCGGATGGCACACAGAGACAAGCCTGGATGTTTGAGGGTGTAAAGTTGCTTTGGAGACTCGTTGGACCAGCTGGGGCATGTTTAAACCCTGAGGGGTTAACACTGAAGAGCATTAACGACTCACATTTGGATTGAACACAATGTTCGACACATTTTCTGAGCCTAAATTAAAAAACAAAGCTGAACCATTTGTTTTTCACTCATGTCCTGGTGCAGAAGCTGCAGACACAGCAGAGATACACACGAGGCTGAGATGGATTTATAAAAGCTTACATTTGTATGTTTTTAATGCTGGTTTTAAACCAGATAATGGCTCACTTATTCAGGCAGTAATGTAGGTTAAAGGGCTTCAAATGGCCGATCCAGATGACCAGAACCAACCGAACCCTCCCGTGCAGCTGTATTTCTACTCACTCTGAGACAGGACATATTTGCTGGAGCACGCCGTGAGGTTGCATCGTCTGACCGGGGTTATCCGGTGGTTCCTGTTGGCTTGTCTGACGAGCTGGGACACCAGGGGTCTGACCGCCGAGAAGGCCACCATCTTGTTCCAACGACGGCTTCACAACAAACGACAGGACACGGTGTTAGCTTAAACTAACCGCGCCGAAGTTAGCTACCTGTCAAAAAATAGTGCACCATCCGGCTGCTTTTCGTCAGCTTTAACACTCCTATTGTTGGTCAGGAGGTGGGGAAATACGTCCAACATGTACCAATAGAAAACAACCATTTAACCTGAAACTGTTGCGTAAATTTTGCTTCTTTTAACCCTTTTTTACACCGCAACTATCCGCGCAGACCCTTCTCCATCTTTGGGTCTCCGAGCACTCGTAACAACAGGGAGGGGAAATGGGAGGAGCCTGTAATTTTGACCAATCAGAGCGCTGCTTCGAGGGGCGGTGCTGCAACAACCATAACAACAGACCGGAAACAAAAAAAAAAGTCACGTGGAACTTGCCCCCCCCACACCCACCCCCACACCAAAACTGTAAAGAAACCTTGAATTGCAGCATGTGCCACAAAAAAATAAAAACATAAAAAAAGGGGAATCGCAACTAATCATTACACTTTAGTTAATAGTTTTATTTATCTTTTCGAACACGGCAGGAACAAAACCACATAATTAATATAAAAAAAACCCTGTAATAATACTATGAAAATGTATATTCTACACATTATTTACAATAGAAGAGTACAGTATTATGTTTAAAACAGAGTAGTAAGAGATAAAAAAGTATTAAAAGGATAGTTCAGTTAACTTTAAAGGGATGTTCTGTCTAATAGTTATCAATATTTAATACCGTATCAGCTGTGAATTCAGAGTCAGAGTCAGAGTCAGAGTTTCTTTATTGTCATTCGCACCTCATGTGGTACATGTGGTGGAGCGAAATTATGTACACGGGGTCCCAGTTACATCCAACAATAAAATGTATAAGAAAAACAGTAATAACATCTAAGATATGAACTAAGAAAAACATCAACTAAATATACACTAAGCACTCATAACATAAAACATTGAACATCAGCACAAACATGAACATGAGTAATAGTGATAGTAATAAATAGTAATAATAATACATCAGTAATAGAGCACAGAGTGGGTAAAAAGTAGTAAAAGTCTTTGTCCAGGCTAGGCTAGGCAAATCTTCTTTCAGCTGTTCAGCTGTTTGGATTGCCACAGCTAGTCATACTCCTCCATCTAACTCAGTTGTCTGCGTCCTCTGTCCTCACCCCATCTGCCCCCCATGTCATCTCTAATGGGCATGTTTCTTGTTGTCTTCGACTAACATTAACTAACATTAGCACAATTTCCACCAGCACCGTTTGTCATCAGCACCAGTGGTGGTTTTTGTAAACCCAGGCCCTTCTGACACAACAAAAACATCATATTAGCCAATATTGAATCTCAACACTTTTTAAAAGTTTGTTGTTGTTTGTAGAAGTTGCACATGCAACTTAGTTTCTGTGGCGACCCCCTAACGCAGGGAGCAGTGAAAGAAAGCTTCAGCTGTTGGACAGATGGACTCACATCTGACTCCAGAACCCTTTGGTCTACAGCAGAGCTCATGGTCCGCTCAGTGACTGACAGGAGCCCAAACCATCAGCCTCCATCATCATGCTTGTATGGGGTTTGTGTCAATGTTTGTTTTCCCCCATGCTGCTGTGCATTATGGGTAAACTTCTCTGTTTTGACCATTGGACAGATGAAAGCACAAATCGTGCTGCCAAGTTGTTTTGGACAGAAAAGACTTTCTCCTGTGACCTATCCAAACAAGCCAGACATGCAGTTTTTTCCCCAGTTGTTCAGTTCTGAACTTTAACCTTTAACCTTCTGACTGAGGCCCCTCTGCTCCGGCCTCGGACGTCCAAAGTCCGATGCTCCAAAAGACTTGTTCAAATAACAAAAAATAAATGCACAAAAATAATTTATTTGCAACAATTATAGTACAGTAATTTGCTTTTTAAAAATAAAAACAAGTCTGGATTTTTTTTTTTTTTAAAGTTGTACTTGAACCTTTTTTTTAAATGCTTTTAAAGTATTTATATGAATTTGGTTTTTTGCATACTCAGATATTTACCTACGATGTTGCTTTTAGCTAAATGTTACGTAAACTGTTTTACGAAAGACTACCGAAAACGTTTCCTGTGATGAACACAGTCCTTTGAGTCAATCAGACTGAGTGTATTTTTAAAGCTTGTTTATAAGATACTTGCTCTGTGTTGCATCACAAATACGTCACAAGAATTTCACAACCGAGATAAAAGTGCTGCCATGCCTTTGTTTGCAAAAAGAATCAGCTCTAGGGGACAAACATGATTAAAGGTAAACATGGATCTTTGGCCCCGTTCAGACATCGTTTAAAGACGTGATCCAGGTGAGGTCTTCATTTGCATAAATTCTTCTACCTTTAAAAATCCCTTTGAGTCACAATGACATCAAATGTCCTCACAACTGTAACGACAAACACCTTCAACAAAAACAGATTGCATCATTTCAGAAATGCTTCTAGCAGCCCAGAAAATGATTGTTGTCCAGCTACAAACGGATTCAGGACACATACTGGACAAACAAGACACATGGGACATACCATATACAAGCTATAAACAGGAGACATGCAGGACACATACTGGTCATATATAGGATATAAAAAGGACACATACGAGACATATACAAGACAAATAGGACACATATACAAAACATTAACAGGAGACACGCAGGACATATACAGGACACATATGGGACATATGCAAAACATTAACAGAAGACATGCAAGACATAAACAGGACACATATGGGACATATGCAAAACATTAACAGGAGACACGCAGGACATATACAGGACAAACAAGATACATACAGGTCACACAGAACATGTATAGGACACAAACAGGACATGTAGGACAAATATAGGACACACATGGTCATGACAACAAATGTCCTCGGAGACATAGCACAACCATCTCACCATCTTTTCACACTTGCTGTCCTCTGGAGGTCCTTCATAAAGATCTGAAACATTCTCCATTTTTTAATTTCATATTTTCACAAACTTAAATGTTCAGACTTCATATCCGTTTAATTTAATTCAAACTGTCAGTAATTTTCTGTAAACAAACATTTTGTAAACTGTTCATTTTCATCTGAACCTTTGTGAAATTATTCATGTCTGGTCAGGACGAACGGCTGTTGTGATCAGAATCTTAGTTTCATCACTTTCACCTGCTAATTGGACTTTTTAATTTCCTTTTTTTTGTTTAGATGTTGAGCCTAAACAATTAATACTCATTGAAGTTGTTGTATTTTTATTGATCCATCATGTTAATTTACTGCAGGTGGTGTTACTGGTGCTGTGTATTTTTATTAACGTTTTTCTTGGTTCATATCTTAGATCTTACGTATTACTGTTTTTCTTTCACATTTTAATACTTTTGTTGGATGTTAACTGGGACCCATCCACAATTTGACAAATAAAGAACCTTGAAAACTTAAATTTTACAAATTTGAAAACTATCGTTTGTTTTTAGCAACCTTTAAATCCTTTTTAAGAATTGCAGGAGAAACCAGTCAAGAAACACCAAGGTTTTTGTTCCAGACCAGGAAAATACTCAAAAATAAAAATACTTCTCAAGACTTTAGGCAACTAAACTCTTTAATCCTTTCAGTTCTGTGTAGTCGGTTCTGTTTAAGTTTACACATTAGGTTCTGTGGAACAAACGAAGCCTAAAAACTCACAGGTCAGATTTATTGTTTTCATGACGGTGGTGCAGAGATTTTGCACAAACTTTCATGCTAAATAAAGAAGAATCACAAAACTATGAAAACAGACTGGAGGAGCTGAAGGCCACTCTGGACTCCAGTAATTGGACTCAACTGAACCTCTGGAGACAAATCCACATTATTTCTGGGCCCGTTTTTAACAAAAGGACGTTTCTGCTCTCTTTGCGACAAGTTATGAAGCAACCGCATGCTTCGGCTGCAAGTGGCGTGGCTATAAGCTGCCTGAGCACAGCCGAAGCTTTTTAAAGAACTCAATGAATTCACCGGGACACAGGATGGCTCTTTCTTTATGACCGTCTGAGTAAGAGTTACAGTTTTTCTTACAGTTGCTGCCTCTCTACAGCCAAAGTACAGAAAGTACGGTTACATATTTAAAGAAAAAACGTAGATATAGAGAAGAGGTAGCAAATAAAACCTCTTGGCACAAACTGGCCAACAACGTCTCCATCTGTGCTCCATGTATGACTGAACTGACCAGTAAGAGCGTTTACAGGCAGGAGAACCAGAACTACAAACTCCAGGGTCTGCCCGTCTGTTTGCATCTTTTACAACTGATTTTATTTATTTATTTTACAAAAAACTCACAAAACACTAATTCGTGTCGCGTAAAAATACAGTACGTTTATAAAAATGACCACAAAAAAGCACCTTTTTAAACCAGAGTAGCAGGTCAGGACCTCAATGAATGAAAATAAAAAGTTAACTGCACTTTACTTTTTTACTAAAAAGCAGAATTTATTTACAGCACTGTGTCGTCAGACAATGAGCACGAAAGCACAAAAAAAAAGTGCCAAAAGATGAAGTGTGGAGGAACTGGTTCTTCATTAAACAGCTGTTTTATTTCATCCTGCTGTCCGTTTGGAGTCAAAAGACAAGAATTTATACAAAGTTCAGACCCGGTTGGTCGTCAGTCCAGAGCAATGATGTCATCATCATCGTTTGCACCCGATTGGTCCGTCCGTGGACGCTTTGTGGAGGTCTCACCGGGCTCAGAGTCTGGGTGCTTCCTCTTGGTGGCTGCAGTTGCTGCAGAGCTGGACGACACTAATTCCTCATCATCAGAATCGACTATCATGACGTCATCATCCTCAGCTGCAGCTGAGACTGGAGGAGAAACGGCTTTTAAATCACGTAAAACATCTAAACTAATCAATTAAAACATTTAAAAAAAAAAATTTTTTAACCAAAAACCATTAATGCAAATAAAATAACATTTGGATAAACAAAAACATTCAGTGAGTGCTGACTGACTTTACTGAGGAATTCAAGAGAAACAAGAACAAAATCTAAATAAATAATCACCAAACCATAAGCTAATAGCAAAAATGAGCAAAGACTGCATGTAGCAAAAAGCTACGATTAGCAAAACCATTGCTAAGTATTAAAAGCAGCAACACAATAGATGAAAGCAAAAAATAGCATTAACTGTGGCTAAAATACATTTGTAGCAAAGCTGTAGCTAAACGCTAAAAAATTTGCAAAATAATTGTTGAATGCTAAAAGTATGAAGACAATAATTGAGCTAAATGTAGCAAGACAGTGGCCAAAAACAAAAATAACTATGAACTGTAGCTAAAAGATTTATATATAGCAAAGCTGAAGCTAAAAGCTAACATTAGCAAAGCTATTGCGAAACGCATAATGTAGCAACAGTGGATA